TAGAATTACAGACTACACTTTGCCCCCAAATACACCCATTCAATTCATAAATTGCATAGATGCCAAACAAAATAATTTGCCAACCTATTCAAAAAATTAGGAGGGAGAAATAGAAATTAAAAAAACAAATGCAAAGAATCAGTAATTCTATCTTCAAGCTAAAATAAATGATCTCGACTTAATGCGGACTCTACTTTACAAACAAATATGAGAGCATGTCATCATAATACTATGCCTTTTATATAAATGCAGATTGTTTCATTTTCCCTCTATTATAACACACTTGTATTTTCTATGCATCTCTAATGCTCTAGCAGTTTTATAATTCTTTACAATAAATCTCTCTCAAACCCTTGCCTCATTTATTTGGCTTCTCATTTGTCTATCGTACAATAATATACACAGATACAATACAAATACCAGAGACAAAAAGGCATTTTTACAATGCTTAGTTGGCGCAGTTCCTTTTCAAAATGTACAAATAATTTACAAGTAGGCGAGTTCAAGGTGTTTAGTCCCATATGTTACCAACCATGTCAAAACTTAAACTCAGTATATCTGATGATGAATGCATAGATGAAGGATTACTGGTAGACCAAATATGAAAGAAAATATTAATGTTTTTTGAAATGTTTACTTACTTTTATATCACAAGATCATGATTGAATTCTTGGGCGATTTCATGCAATGTATCCTATATGGCATATGTCCTTTCTCCACATACAAAGTGTATTTCCTTGATATGACCATGGAATTATGGTGCTTTCTTATCTCACTACTATTAGCCATAGTCATATCAAGTATTTTTTTCATTCATGGATGAAATGGATAAATGTCATTTGTATTTTTCTCTAAGCGCCATGAGCACCGAAAGGTGGGCCTGTGCGCTATAAAAGTAGCCACTATTATTGTTGTACATCACATCATGCATTGAATCACCCTAATAGCCAACTCTGACAGTGTGTGAGCAGAATTCTTCCCCAAGCAGACAAAGTAAACTATGTTCAATCATAATTCCATGCTAGTTGGTAACCTATGGAACACATAAAGACTGAATGCGGCCTTGAACTCGCCTAGTGTCGGACCTTCTGGAGGTTCCATTCTGTGAACACAGAATCCCTTATCATACAATGGAAGATATAATAGTACATGTATCTAGTACATTTTTGCAACACATTGAGTAATCATAACACGGTCTCAACTAATTCCGCAAAATCAACTCTGGGGCAAGTTAAATACCTTATATGGTACATGTACATCACATAGAGATGTTTGGATTATAATAATAATAATAGTACGTTCTTATATAACGCTTTTCAGGACCACAGGCCCTCTCAAAGCGCTTTAAAGATATATTTTATTACCCTGGTCATCGGATTGAGGCTTACCCGCACACAATGTATGCACAGTGCCCTGGCAAGCATTCCAGCCAGGCGTCATTTGTACTTCATTAGAATAGTGTTCAGACATTTCAAAAGGTGGTGAACAAGGATATTGAACTTGCCTTAAGTTGATTTTTTGATGTCTTTGTGACCATGTGCTATTAGAACTTCACGTTTGGTTATTTATTATCCATATCGCTCTTAACCAAGTATGTTTATGTATATTACAGTACTCTAAAAACTCTTGGAAAATGATAATTGCTTACGGAACGTGCATCTGATTTGAAATGAAAGTACTGATTTCAACTTCTTTATTTGATTCAACATAAGTTTATACCAGGCATGGTGGCTCAGTGGTTAGAGCGCCCGCCTCATGAACGGGAGGTCGTGGGTTTCGAACCTCGGCCGAGTCATACCAAAGACTTATAACAATGGGACCTTCTGCCTTCTAGCTAGGCGCTCAGCATATTAGATTGGAGAAGGGTAATAATAACATATTATGTTATGCAGGGCCCGCTGGAAGAGCAGTTTCATAATTGAAGTGGCTACCCTGGGTAAATAACACGTTATTATTATTATTTATTATCACAAATGCATAGATTGAGAAAACAGCTTAACTTTTTATAGCACACATATTTCTTTTCTGCCTTGCGCTACTTCTACAAATTTGGAAATATCATGAAGCAGTGGCCAAGCTTCGAACACTGTTCCAGTTGTTTGGTTACTCCGTTGACATCGGACTAAGCCTAATTTCAAGATAAATGCTCTTAATGCCTTTTTGTACTACCTCATGCTTTACATACATATTATGCACAACACTACATTAGTGGAAGAAAGAAATAGAAGAAAAAATTCAACTAAAACAAAAGGGGAAGGAAAATATAATATCCTCCTAAAAAGAGAATTGTGAATATATAAATGATTCTTAGAATTTTTAACGATTCATTCTTTCTATGAATTAAACTAAAATGTTTTTTTTTTTAATGCGAAGGCAAAACTAACAACTATAGGAGACACTACAAGTAACACCACAATATTGAAAGCCAAAAAACATGAAGAAGAAGACATTTTCTACCATTTTCATTGGAGGATATCTTTATTATGGTTATGCAGATATTAATCTATTGGGGGAGGGCAACCAATATTATTTTTTCTAAATGTAAGGAGAAGAGCATACCAAAACTTCCAGCCACATCTGGTATTCATGGTCACTTTTTCTGGTCAAGTCCTTTTTACTGGTTGAAATTCATGGAGGTCTTAAGCGATACCATTTCTTGATGTGAAAAAGGCCATATACATGATTAAGCCATGAGTATAAAAGAAAGGATCTGACTCTAAACAATATAAAGCATCAGCATGCAATACTTTCCTATAGTACTATTACACACTGGTCATAAACACACGATTCAAGTAGAACTTTATCAGGCAATAATCAGATATGACAGATTTCTACAATATTTCCTGATCTACATAATAATAATATTTCAATTAAAATAAAGTAATTTTTTTCAATAGGTTGACACAATCAAGAATTAGTTTAAATCATTAGTACTATCAAAAGACTGCATTTAACTAAGAAAGGCACTTTATCATTCAAAACATATATAAAATCAACATAAATAAGATGAATAATTAAGTAAACAACTAATTATTCATTCCATAATCATATTATGTACTGCATTTTTACAAACTGTTTTAGCTTGGAGGGGGAGTGGGTTATACTAGTAGTCTTAATGAAAAGCATGTTTCAGATTTCATGTACTGGTACATGTATACTAATTTTTTACTTCTTAAAAAGAACACATTCTAAACTCAAGTTTGTTTAAAACCTATGTTCACATGTTATCTAATAACAGCTACTAACGCCTTCAAAATGATTTGTGAACTTGAGACTTGAAGAACTGAATGCTATCTGAAGACTATCTGCCTCCATACCCTATGAACAAAAAATATACAGAAAACACATTGCACTTGTCAACAATTCTCACCTTTTATTTTTCATCATCAATGCGGCATGCTACTTCTAAGGGGAGGAATTACTATTATGATTGATTATCATTAAGGAAGCCATTATAAGAAAGCAGCAATTTTAGTCATCTGCGTAGTAATGTATCAATATCAATAACAGACAGAGATTAGGTTATTTTTAAAGCTTTTTTTCTCTTTCATTTTTTACACACCATGCTGATTTTTTACATTTCCTAGCATTTCTTGTTTTTTTTTGTATTTTCTCACTGCAGTATATTTAAAAAGTACTTCAAACTCCCAGTCTCTTCGTCGAAATCTAGTACACATATTTACAAACAGATGCCCCCTTTTGACCGTTAGTACGTGTATATTCAAGTACAAGTTGATATCAATCGTATAAAATGTCAGTTAGTATATCTACATCATAGGCTTATCTAGGAGTTGCTTTTAAAATAAAATAATTAGTACAATATATGAATCACAAAAATTCAAAAATAGTAGAAAAACAAAACATACAATCATGCAGTTAAAAAAAAAGTATTAATTATCATATATATACAGCCATTTGAAAATACATGAGTATAAAGTACTTTTTGCACAGATTTTCAATCGATCCTCAAATAACAGAAATGAAGAAAAAGTGAGAGAATATTACTGAATAGAGACAACAAAGTTGTCAGCACCATTTTCTTATAGCATTATTCAATGAAGTAAAAGTTAAATTGTGACCTTTTTTCTGTTTCAAAATGGCATACTTTACCCATTGACTACTGATACTGTCATTCTCATAGGTTCATACAGGCAATGGTTTAACATGTAGGATTTTAAGGGTAATTTATGGAAGAAATTAATCAGGCAAATCCAACATATTCTATCCCATACATGACCATTTTGCATCAGATATTTTAGTACATAACACTGTACCCGATGCCTGACTGTATGAACATGCCAAGTCTCTCATTACCATAGATTTAATACTGGATTCACCACGTTCCCACAGGCAATGGGTCACCTTTGCATTCGGTGTGGATCAAGACCCTGCCACACTGTTAGGAGTGTTGTGTTCCATACACGCTGTATGTGTGAAAAACTATGACTGTGGTAGTCCACTGTTTCTTCCATTGGTCAAGCAAAGATGGTAAAGGGTTAAGTTGACAGCCCTCTCAGGGCATATTTCACAGGAAATAGTACTTTTGATGTTGATGACATGTATGTACTTGTACATATTCTAAATATCCTTGGTAAAGTATGGGACATGACATGTTCAAATACCTAGGACTTGCTGATGTCTAATGGTAAGGACATTCTTAACATAGGGTATCCCAACTACAACATGATGACTGCCCGCAAAAATACTTGAAGAGCTTTCTATTGTCAATGGCAGTGGTGGCCTTCTTGCCGATGACTCGTGTTGGGGACAATGCAGAGTTCCACCTTCTCAGGTTGCAGTCTCTTTGTTCAAGGATGCACCTCTGCTCCAGGATGAGGGTCAAATTGTCTTGACCTCTGACCTCTTCTCCTGCAACCTTTGACCCTTTTCTGGTTGACCTTTGGACTCGATTCTTGTCATCCGACTGCAACGTGACTGGCAGCACCAAACACCATTACACAGGTGGCAAATAATGCTTCATGTATGCCATTATCTCCCTCATGAGTAGTGCCAGTTCTTCCGGTTTTACCCCTCTTCTTCATTCAGAATTGAGCATACATGTAAATACATCATGCAACCATCTAAGGCAAGATGGTGTCTTTCGATTGCCCATTGCTTCCATGCAGTAGATCTTTGTCATGACCTCACTGGTTTTCTGCTCATCCAACTGATGCTTCTGACAAATACAGAGTCTCTCATCTTATTATGTTCAAAATTTATTCAAGGTGCGATCATAACTCTAGGAATCAAAAACAGATCCTAATATTTCTACACATTCCATGGACTATCACTTTATATCATTAATAAACTTTAGATGGTTGTTGCTAGAAGGATATCTCACCACAACTCTCACACTTAACCCCAAGTCCTTTCCTAGAGTGCATTGAAGAAACATCCTGTGTCTTCAAAACATTTTCCTTGGCATTATCGCATGCAGTACAACAAAACCAAGAGGTGGTATCCCAACAATTAGTCAATTTACAAATTAGAAATTAAAAAAAGAACTATCCGCAGACTAGGAGGTACAGCTCATTTTATATTATAGGTGGGGTTTTTAAAGACAGACGTGGACGGCTTATAGATGGGGTTCTCTCCGCCCTCCCAAGTGGCGTTGGCCCGCTCCTTCTCAAAGTTCTGGAACTCTCTCCTGTCGTGAATGTATGTGAGCAGACGCCAGATGAGGAGGAGCGCTAAACCAACCAGGAAGACTCCAATGATGATTCCAAGGATGACCCATAGCATCTCAGGTGCTCCAGGACAAACTAGACAAGACAAGACAACAAGACAAGAAAGGTATGGTTATGAGTTAGTGTTGAAATGGAAATTATCTTAAGTTGAAATTAAAATAACTGATCATCTAAAAAATGATATTCTGAAATATTAGTGGGTTGTGTAAACCAACAAAATAAGAAATTAGCTTTGCAAGTTACATACATAACCCAAGTTTGGCGGGAATCCATCAAACAATTATTGAGAAAATGCGATCACGAGAATGGGACGTACTGACGGACGTACGGACAACACGAAAACAAAACGAGGAAGAGAACTAGAAGAAAAAAAGGGATCTACAATAGAAAGCAAAAGAGTGTGAGAGAAAAGTAGAAAGAATGATTAAAAACAGAAGGTATGGGGAAGAGAGGGTGAGGGAAAGAGAGAGAGAGAGAGAGAGAGAGAGAGAGAGAGAGACAAAGAGAGCACACTTAAGATAACTTGTTCATACTTACTTTTGTCTTCTTGTACTTCTATGTAATAGGTTCCATTTGGGAGGATTTCATAGGTAAAGATAACATGGCACTCATCATCGTCTGTAAATCTACACTCCTGATGACCTGTCACAAAGAAAAGGGTATTAAACATGTTACATCACCAGTTATCAACATGTGACCAATCACCAACAAGACAGATTCTTAGTACACATTAGGGTTTGCCCAAGTATACTGTTGGGTCTAGAAACCTATCCGAGCTCCAGGCTTTGGCAATCTTTCAAGCTTCATGTTGTTATATTTGTGTAAGAAACAAGCATGCTTTTGGCTACAAAGCCATGCATGACTAGTTGATTTGCAAGTTGTGTTTGTGTGACTGTGTCTTTGTGTGTGAGTGACAAAATTTGTAAACTTGTATGTATGATGATGTGGATGAAGTTATATTTCTTTCAAACACATACAGAGGTAGTGTATGATTGTGTTTAAGTTGAGTTTTCATTAAAATATAAGCAAGATCACGGTGCCAAAGGGGTTTGGGTTGGGCGTTAGTTGGTTGCCCAAGCAATGATAATAAGGATGTGTGCATGTCTACCCCTTAAATTTGTTTCACCTATTATCGGTACAATATTAAAGGTGCTGTGGTTTTTAGTGTACATGGGGTGTGACTCCAGTATAAATATGAACACCATGTAACATTCTCTCTGAGGGACGGATGTACAGATCACAGCTACAAGTGTTGACCAATCAAACGTCAAAAAACAAACCCCAGGGTATGAAACCCCACAAATATAACATGAAGCTTGAAAGCCTGCCAAAGCCTGAAACTCCAAGATTTCAGGGCCTGAAATCAGGAAACAAACCAGAAACTACAAATTTTGACCAATCAAAATGAAAACAGATCCCAGGATATGAAACCCTACAAATATAACATGAAGCTTGAAAGCCTGCCAAAGCCTGGAACTCTAAAAATTTCAGGGCCTGAACTCAACAAAAAACCTGGAACATGCAGACATATTTATTTTAAATTTTTCTCTCTTGCTGTTTGCTTCTATCTTCTACTTCAGGTGCCTTGCCAGAGTTTGACATTGGTGACCACACATCCAAAATTAGTCTAATCTTTACTCTTCCAATTAGTCAACTGAAAGAGGGAAGAAACTACCGTACACATAGCCCAGCTTCCCCACCCTCTCCACATTATGGTATCCACCACAGCTTCATATATGTTACGTTACGAAAAAGCAAAGCATTCATTCATTCATTAAGAGGATACCAAATACTTTGTATATGTTCTTACTTATTCTTTATTGCTGTTATGAATTTATGTTCATGATTTTGTTATTATTATTATTTTTATATATATATTTGTTTAACTATTGTTTCTAATTATGTTTAACAGGGTCTCATGGAAGACCACCATTATTGGTGATTATGAGTCACCCTGTCTAAATATCAAAAATAAATAAATAAATAAATAAATAATACAGAGAGAGAGAGAGACAGACAGACAGAGAGAAGAGGATTGTACATACCTTCTTCCCTCCTGAGCTCCTTAACTACATAGATAGGGTGGGGACAGTTCTTGCACTGTGATTTGTTGTAAGCTCCGGTGTGGAAGGCTCTACACTGTACACAAGGCTGGTTGATGTCACACTCACCAGCACAGTCCTGAAGAGAGAGAGAGAGAGAGAAACAGAATACATGCATTAATATATCAGAGTGTAGTATTAAAGGGCTGATTTGAAATGCCCTACATACGAGACAAGGCTGTATTGTGTGTGATATCTTGATAACAGAGTGTAATAAGCTCTGGTGTGAATGGCCATGCACTGTACACAAGGCAGGTTGATGTCACAATCCCTGAACACAATCCCGAAAAATATCAGATTTTAAAAACAAGCTCTTGACTCGTGAGGAGGCGCGATAGCTCAGTTGGTAGAGCAGTGGTCTCGTAATCCGGTGACCCGGGTTCGAAACCAAGGCGATGCGCTAGTGCCCTTTGGTAAGGCATTAATCCTCATTACTACAGTGTAGGTCCCTCGGAGGATAACTGGAGACTGTGGATCGGGAGCTAGTGGATGGGGGGGGGGGGGGGGACTGACGGAAAATATTATGAGACATTTTAATTCATGACGCATGTTAATTGTAGGCAACATGAAATTGAGAGGCACATGCACATTAAAAATAATTATCCATATTTATGTACATCGTTTTCTATTGTTAAATGTTATATTTATTTTCTATCATTTGTATTTTCACAGTAAAAAAAAGCCATTGGAAACAAAATTTCTAAGTAATGTTTGCATGCAGGGACCAATAAAATAATCTTGAATCTTGAATCTTGACTTATGTGTCTTTTAAAATGCAGCATTGTGAAGCACGCTATGGTACTACTTCAATTTTGGCAGTTTTTTATTCAAAGCAGATTACCACATGATAGGTGAAGAAGCCTCAGGAAACGGAAAACATTTTTCATCGAAACCAAAAGTAAGTTTACTTACTGGACATATTTGACAGGTAGCACCGGAGTACTTAGGATCATTACATTGACACTTTCCACAATCACAGGTCCCTACTCCATTACAGATCTCCTGTAAAAGGCAACAAAAAGAAAAATAACATTGTTAACATTGAGGATTAATTCTAGATATATGTAAAATGTTATCATTATGTCTCCAGCGATTCCAAATATCAAAGAATAGGAGTTAATAAAGACATGCTCAAGTTGCTTTTGAGTTGTACTCATTAAAGCAAACCTAAAGAATGACAAGAAACATAAAATCAGACATTATAAATTGAAACTGAATGAACAAAGAGTCTATCTGCCAATCAGAGCCTGTTAGTTTTCAATTCAATTCAATTCAATTTATTTCCACTTTAAAAACAATTTACAAATCAATAACATATACATATGAATACTAGTGGCGGGATTATGAAAAGCACTAATTGGCTTATTGAAAATGACCCCCTTACAAGTATACACATAACATAGAATAAATTGTAAGAAAATATCAAAAATTATACAGGAAAAACATAACAAAAACATCGAAATTAAAAATTTAAAAAATTGATAAGGAAGAAAAAGTATAACATTGCTGAATCAAGTATCCTCCTCTGAGAGATACAATAAAAACTAAGCCCCTCACCCTCTTTGGAGCTCAACAAGCATTATTAGATGTTGGACACTCAAAAAACATTAACATGCATTAATTATGGAAGTGTCTGTTATCAAAGTAGTCAATTTTTATTGTACACCCTTCAAATTTACATCATCAACCCTGTGACAAATTAAAGATCAACAAGTGTTGGGGTCAAGTGGAAAAGTCTCTGGACTGTGGACTACAACTAGGTATGGGGTTTGAATCCCTGCCGCAGCACTAACGTCCTTTGGTACGACATTAGCAGGCTTTCGCAAACACGACGGTAACACGAGCAAAAAAAACAATCTGCGCATGCGCCAACCAGAAATTTTCGCCATTATAGCGTTCGTTACCTAAACATGTATCCCCGTAATTCTCCCGTCGTCTTTGCTTCTGTCGTCTTTGCGGAAGCCCTCTATTAAGAAGGTACCTGCTAGGATTTATTGCGTTAAAGCACAGAGTAATATGGTTGCAAGAACTAAAGTCATGGTAATAATATCCAAAATCCTTTGAAAGCGCATTGAGACATTAAAGCCTGTCACTGGCAGGTGGCTATCTCATCAAGTCCGCTCTTAATTAACATAAGAAAAAGAGGATCATGGTGGACCAACGGGTACCGCTTATGTATTGTTTGCTCTATAGAGGGCGCACGTAGCTACAAGTAGTACAGTCCCGCTTTAAGTAATAATGTTATATGTGCTATACAAGAAAAGCATATTATCATGATCATTATTACTCTTACTCACCCCATTTGGAGCTCTACAGGTATCATTAGATGTAGGGCACTCACAAGCACTGCCTTGATAACCTTCTAAACAGCCACAGAAGTTACCAACATCTTCATCGCAAAGACACGTTCCTTTATCACTACCTGTGTGTAGAAGAGATGCATATTGGCAATACTTTGAATATTCATACAAGGCTTAAAGTGTCTTGGTAACATCGTTGAAGGTTGATGAAAAAAATTGCTTAATTTTTGTATAAAATGTTACTTACTATATTCCTTCTACTGTACTAACCCTCTAACATGCAAAAAATCCTGAAAGAATTCTCAAACCACGAAGATATCTATGGTTTTCATTGCACTGCACTCCCCGTAAAAAGGAAGGGGAGAAACCCAGGTGTACTGGTACATCTGGGGGGCGTTTCACAGAACTTGTCATCGGTGACAAATGACAGCTTTTGTTATAAGCTACTGAAATCTTTGCTTCTGATTGGTTATCACCACATTTGTCACTGATTTTTGTTATTTTTCATTGAAAAAAAGGCTCGTGAAACTGTCCCTGGACATCCTAATCACTTTATATAGTGCGAAGAGACAAGAGGGTCTCTCCCTTGTCCCCTCCAGGGCGCAGACAATAGGGACTTTTAGATTGAGTGGACGAGAACGGCGTGAACGTCCACTGATCATACGTGTCTATGGCAAGCCGTTTTAACATTTATTCCTATTTCTTGATATCAAGAATTACCATTGCTTTACAACAGAAAATCATTTCTTGATATCAAGAAATAGGAATAAATGTTAAAACGGCTTGCCATGGTCATGCATGATCAGTGTACGTTCACGCCGTTCTCGTCCATTCAATCTAAAAGTCCCTAATGCTACATAAAGTCAACATACCTCCGCACACCTCTCCTCCTGATCTTGGGCACAGGTAGTTGTCGCACTGACAGTACTCTCCGGTGATGATACGGTTAGGGTCACCACGCGTGTCACATTCACATTCACCGCATACGCAGGTGCCTCTACTGGAGCACTCTACAGTAGAATTGGGTCTGTGTGAGGGGAAAAAAAGCAAGAAACTTTGTAAGGTTTCCAGCATTTCAGGAGAACAATGTTCCCTAAATTTCCCTGATGGAATTTAAAAATTCCAGGACAAAAAAAAAAAAAAATCAACTTTGAAATATCTTCATTTAGTGGATAAATTGTTTGGACACAAAAAATATGCAAAAAAGTAAATAAATAAAACATTATATTACACTATCTTCTTTTAAAGAGAGATTGACTTCTTTCTTTTGGAGCCTATGAAATACCTGATATTTCACTGATTAATTAAACTGAATAAGGGAACTCATTTTCCAGGTTGTCCCTGACTTCCAAAATAGCTGGAAACCCTATTTGAATGTACTGCTCTGGTGGCAATGGCTTTGATGCCAATCAATATCTATAGGAGAATTTCCAACTTCAAGCAAGAACCCAACACTATTACAAACTCTAATCCTAAGTCCAACCCTAACCCCAAATCTTTGATGTAAATTCCACAGAACAAATATGGCCATAGGCAATGTCGGATCACCTATTTAAGACCGGGGCCTGTATTCAATTAAATACTTATCTAAAATAGTTGAGTATTTCACTAAATTTTAGCTTTAATACTGGTAGGCAAAATACTTGTCCAACCTCAGTATTCAGTAGAAGCTATTTAGCTCCCTTAGCAGAATTATGCCAATTATTTTGATTTCCTTGATTGGCAGGTATATGATCTTTATACGCAGTCGTTTTAAGCTCCGCACAATTATATTAGCGCACTCATAATGTGACACATTAAATGTGCATTATTTGGGATTGACTATGTGACGTCACAATGTTTATAGGTAATTAATTTGCCTAAAAGTTGGCTTACTAAAGTAAAATACTTAGATGTGATCTGAATAAAAGATACCACATTAAGTCAGCTAACCCAACTGCTTAGTAAAATACTGACTTAGTACGCATTCTAAGTTGAACATGGTCCCTGAAATTGAATTGATATACTTACTGTACGCAGCTTGGGTCAAGCCCTTCAGCCTCGACTCTGTCACATTCGCAGGTCCTCCCTGATCGTCCTTCGTTACACATACAGGCACCACATGTGAACGTACCATGGAAGTTACATTTAGTGGAGTTGGGCTCCGGCTACAAAGGGAATATACAGATTTAAATAACACATTATGATGTAACGTTCCTATGCACTTCCAAAGAGCTTTGAAAATGATCAACCTAGCTTAAGCTCCAGCAGCTGTTAGTAGCACACAGTTGGTGGATGTTTGATAGCATTGGCCTCAATGTGAAGGGGGCATGCACTACCTGTTTCCTCTTTGAATCAAACTCTTCATCACAACAAAAACATGTTTGTTAGGATTCATTTATAATCTACACTTGTAACACTGCTTAGGGAGGTGTACTCCCTGTTCCTCTGAAAGGCTTGTCAGGTTTGGCACGGTTAGCCGCCTCCACAGGATTTGTTTAGATGCATAATGAATGACAACTGCGGGCTACAAAGGACTTGAGGTATCTAGTGAGCTCTGTGAGATACAGAAATGTCAAACATATTACACTTAAGGTCATCATTAAAAAATGCAGCAGTTTTGCCTCGTCATATCTAAATGAGCCTTTATTAAGCGTTTTATTACTCCCAGCCCATCAACATAAATGGGAGGGGGGGGGGGGGTTGAGGGAGGTTGTCTTTTAAATGTAGGTAACCCCCCCCCCCCCCCCCCACCAACAATTTGTTGGTTACTGCAGCCTCTTCTCAAAGTCAAAGTCATCCATTTTCCCCAAAAATATTTATTGCATCAACCAAGCCTGGATAGAGGTGATGTGTATGTGCCAGGCCATTGTCTCAAAAGCCATCATTAGTAGAAGAATGTCTGCCAACATCTCACTGAAACCACTGCACTAGTGCACTTTGGTAAGGCATGATAGCCATAGGTCCCCTGGTTGCTTTCTTATAAGCATACACATGCTTATATGAAAACAACTAACTATATATGAAACTAACTATATGAATAACTTGAAACATGTTACCCCAATTTAATTTTGCTCGCAAACTATGAGTTACATACCTCACTGCTGGAGCAGTCGCATTCACAAAGTGCTTTCACGTTGAGGACAAGATTTTCTGTGAAACTGGTCGGACCTACTGAAATCCTGAGAAACAGAAAAAGAAATATCAAGAATAAACATTAGAAAACTGAGACTTCATGCTCCTGAATTTGTTCCTGTGTCACAGACGTGGACTATTGCGTTTAGCAGTAGATCATAAGCATTAAAATGTCTGTATCATCAAAAATATGTACTTATTTGATACAAAGCTGCTTAAACTGGGTAGTGAGTGTCCTTTTCATTTTTGTTATTAGTCAGTAAAGAGAAAAATCCCAGTCATGTTTCAAAAATTGTACAATTTGCTTAATAGCTTGTGCACATACTAACACTCTTCTGCCAGCTAAATGAAGCAATAAATCCTACATACTTCTTCCTCAGTAACATAATGGGCATGACTCATTTAATGAGTCTACGGTATCTATTTTTATGTTTCTATTCACTTTCTGTAATTTTGTAAGCACTATGGTACCTTTTGTTTTGTTAGTGCTCCTAAATACTCCCAATATCATTTATTAAATAACTATTGAATGATTATGATTATGATAATGACATACGTGTGCATTCCATTGTTGACTGTGCAGCTCAAATTCTTCATGGTAATACCGACATCAAAGCTGATTTGATCCCCTAGCTTGAGTCCCATACAGGTCTGTTTATCCTTGGTAACGGAGCCGTCTAGACAGTGGGCCACGTAATCTACCTCAAACAGGTCTGCCCCGGCCTTGTCTCCTACCGTCACTTCAGACGTGATATTCTGCAGGAGGTAGGGTGCACGGATATGAATGAATTGTAAAATTGCTTATACAATAATGACCTCCAATAAACAAGTTGAAATCCCTCCCCAAAATGTACTTGTCTGGAAGATAATCGTTGGAAGAAAAGTTCCCCTGAATAGGACTGCTCTTCAAATGCTCAATAAATTGAGTTTTGATCAGAGATAGCTGATATGTTCTAACTAAACATAATGTTCATTCCACTTGTGTGTGTGCATAGTCCCACATCCGCATAGACGGACTCAATAAGAGCAGATAGATAGTTTAATGAGCCAATGAAAACATCCATCATTTATTTTATACAACAAAGTTTCTAGATCCTTGTTATTTGATGTAAAAGGAATTCATTTCAAAGATTGTTTCATGTCATTGTCACTAACAATGTCTTACTTCAGCACTCACACAGAGATACATGTGAGGGCACTAACGTCTATATGCAATTTTGCGCAGTGTTACACAAGTATAGGCCCACACACAGTAAAGCTCACAAACTTTATGCCACTGCTGCTCATCGCATAATTAAAAATCATTAGATAGAACTGGAAACTATTGCACACAATTTAATGAAAATACTTTTGATAGTCTCAGTAATTCAATCACACGTGGCTGCATTTGACAAATAATTTGATTAGGATCTAGGAGCAAGTTGTATAAAAGGAATTATTGAATGAAAAATCTTAATCCCCCCCCCCCAAAAAAAAAACAAACAAAACAAAACAAAACTCAGCATCATGCATCAACAGATGTTGTAAATAAACTTACTAAATATATGTTCTTGATCAAATCTACAATGTTGGATGAATCTGCGGAAAGTCTGGCTGCCTTTGACTCATGAAAGTATTGTGGAAGATCCTGAAATTGGGGAAAATTTGAAAAAAATAATTGATTATCATTATCGTGATGATGACAATGGTGATGATGATGCCAATCACCATCACTACCACCACCACTACCACCACCACCACCACCACCACCACCACCACCACCACCACCACCATTCTCCTCCTCCTCATCATTAATATTAAAACTTATCACCATCAACATCATCATCAACATTCTCCTGCTCCTCCTGCTCCTCCTCATCATCATGACACATCATAATCACCACAACCACCATCATCATTATCATCATCACTACCACAATCATTGTGTTCATCATCACCATTACCACCAGCACCATCATCTTTCCTATCGTCATCATCATCACATCTATGACTATCACAAAGTCATTGTCATCGTCATCGTTGTCGTCATCATCATCATCATCATCATCATTATCATCACAACTATTATCATCACAACTATTACTATTACATCATAATTGTCACTGTCATCATCACCATCAACATAGTCACTGTAAGTAATGTAAACAACCAACACTACAATCATCCAACACTTCACACAATTTTTACCACCATCACCACCACTTTCATTGGGAGTAACTGATTGATGATATAATATCTTACCTCATAAAAGACAAATGGATCCTGTTTATCTACTTCAGCTTTCCCGATGGCGAAGATTGGTAGAATGCTGAGAGTCTCCATCTTCTGACTCAGCTTACTGATGGAAGGATAGTCCTAGACACAGCAGTAAAAAAGACAACAAATATTTGAATTATCAAAATACAAATCAAGACAAGAAACAGTAACAAAAGTCACATTTGTATAGCTTTTAATACTTAATGCCATGTTTATAAGCTCTTTACATTGTAATTATTATAACCCCGGTCATTGGATTTAATTGCTAATCCGCACATGAATGTGCACACACTTGGTTCCCTGGGAGTATTCCTGCCAGGTGCCAATTTACAAGCACACACATGCGACCACATTAATGTTTGCATCCTACCAGGTGCCCATTTAACACCTGGGTAGAGAGCAGCAAATGCCTTGTCAGAGATTGAATCCATGACCTTTGCATCTCCAGTCAAGTGCTGAAAACACTTTCATAAAAAGACATAAGAAAAATCTATTCCAACTTTATGGGCAACAGTCTATAACAAAGTCAATGCCAAATCTATACTATTGTTGCACATTGTAGAAATCAGTGAGTCAGATGATAGAAAATTAATCCAGAACCGATGTTAAGAGAGGGCCATAAACCAAAATGACTCAGGCCTATCCAGGATAATAAATTCATTGTAGCTAAAAACTGTAATCTTACCATTTCATTTGCCATGGTGTATTCAAAGCCAGTACTATCCATATGACACTTGCCATCATTGGGCTTTACGATACCGCCAAGCTGAAAAATAGAAAAACAAGAAAGACATGAGATATTAAGAAGAACATGCAGCTAACCAAATTTTTTTTTTTAAATGGATTTCATGTGTGATTCTTTATAGTTGGAGTATGCAGTAGCCATTTTCAATTAAGTATAGATACTATTCTATTCTTTTTTATATGAAAACCATTATGAACTGGAAGCTCCATACAAAGTATTAAAAAAGTAAACCAAGACCTACACAGTTTTAGGAAGAATAAAGGAAACCCATGAATTTCAGGAGTAACTCTTAAGCAGCCCTCCTGGTTTGGATTTGTCACTGAGACTACACTTGTTTTACTAAAAGGAACAAATGACTGTGATACAAGGCGTGTTTCACAAAGACTAAACTCGACTTTAATTGAGACTTGACTATGGCAGGCCATTTATGCCACTGGTTGCTCTCACCATTGGTCTCTCAATTATGATCTTTAGATAATATTTTTTCCTTCAATAATGAACTATCAAAAAAGCTAAATTCTGTAGATGTGTGACCATGATTGGTACGTCCCTTTAGAGACTGATGCCAGTAAATGGTGAGAATAAACAGTGACATGAACAGCCTGTTTTTAGTTAAGTCCAACTTAAAGTCGATCTTAGTCTTTGTGAAACATCCCCTGATCATGCATAGAATCTACAAAGAGGCTTATTGACAATGAGTCGATACACACCTTTCCATCTCCAGCGATGTGGAAGCTAGCATCAGTGGTGTACACAAGCAGATGCCTGGCTCTCTCCCTCCAGCCAATCTCATCCTAGAGGGTGGGAAAGGGAGGGATAGGGAGGAGGGGTGGGGAAGGGAGAGAGAGAGGAGGGAGAGGAGGGATGGGGATGAGATGTGAGGGAGAGGAGGAGATATGAGGAGAGGGGATGAGAGAAGAGAGGGGAGGAGAAAAAGAGGAAAGATGGAAGGGTGAAGAGGTGTAGATGAGAGACGAGAGGGGTTGGGAAGTGAAGATGGAAAATGTGGAAAGAGATTAAAGGAGGGAAGGACATACATGTAGTGCAGTATGTGAAAAGAAGGAGATGGAAGGAAAGAAAAAGAGAATGCGGTAAAGGAGGCAAAGGAGGAGATGCAAGAGATGTGAAGAGAGAAGAGAAGGAAATTAGGAGGGAAGAGGGAGAGAGTGGGGAAGAGATAAGAAGATAACAAGAAGGATACAGGGAAGGAGAAGGGAAGTGGGATGGTGAAATGAGAATAAGGCATCAGTAAGATAACAATATGATTATTGTGTTTTCTTATAAAAACAAATTTAACAGTGATTTTTTTTCTTCAAAACCAAGAATTTTAAATACTTATGCAATCTGTACTGCATTTACTTAAGGTACCTCACCCCAAGCCCCCCCCCCCCCACCTCTGTGTAGTACAGACATTCAAATTAAGAAAGATAGCCGATGTAACAAGAATTGTCATAAACATCATCAGTCGACAAAATACACAGAAAGAAACACGTGGGACAAATGAGTGTAGATTGATCCACAGTATCAGTTTTAAAAATGTACACAGAAACAAATGTATGGGACTACAGAGTAAACCAGAGTCACTTACTGTGCAGACTGTGGCTTGCATTAGAGCGTCCATACCACCTTCAGGGCTGTCAAGGTTACCAGAACTATTAACCTTAGAGATCTCCTCCTGATCAACAAATAGAACAAAATATATCATTTAAATATCTTAATATTCAGTAGTTGAGTCTGCCCTTATTTTCAATAAAATGAGTGATGCGTAGGGATGTAGATTCCTAGAGAAGGTTTGTTTTGGGTAAAGATGAAAATTAGTTTCTGAGCTTTTATATTCTCTGTACATGTATGTCAGTTAGCAAGAATATCATAGCACAAATAATGCAATCACATGCAACTCAATTTAAATAAGAACTTTAACTTGGTAAAAAAACAATAACTTGCATATCTTTGAGACTTTCAAATGTAGATGATTATATACATAGACATACACTGCCATAGAACTACCCATATAGAAGGACCACCTGTCTTTTGTTTCCTTTGGTAAAGTTTCCCTTTGAAACATGCATAAACGAAAGCTGTACATAAAATGATCTGCTTGTTTGGTCTACATTGAGTAGTCTTCATTGCAGGTGTCACTGTATTTTGTATGAAAACCTGGATGACTTACAGTAAATCTATCTGTCTCAAGCGTGAGTGGAAGAATATTATGGAAGGAGAATGCTGGACCACACCTCTTATTCAAACATGGATTCTCTAACCTGGTGGGGAAAAGAAAAGAAAAAGTTAAGTGTTAACAAGAGGAAAATACTGGAAACTGGCATTCTTTCAAAATTTAGTTATGAATTAACTTCACATTTGCAATATGTGTTGGTTTGTTCAAATTTGTCACAGTTAACCGCAAAATAAAATCATCTCTAATAAAATGAATGGCAACTGAGTGCAACAAAGGAATAAAGCTTATTCATTGAGCTCTGTGTTGAATAAAGCTTATTCATTGAGCTCTGTGTTGAATAAAGCTTATTCATTGAGCTCTGTGTTGGTTATAAGATTCAGAAGTGTGAAGCTCATTAAACTTAATAATAATAATAGTTCGTTCTTGTAAAGTGCATAATACTTAGTCTCTTTGCGTTGTCATCATGACAAAAATAACGCTGGGAAAATGCAAAATTAGATAATCATATTTTCAGAACAAAGCAAATTCAGAGAGATGGATCAGGGGTTGCTAATTTGTGTGTGATTGAATACAACTTGGAAAATCATAACATGATTATTTCATATTGACATTTCCTCTATTTGAGAAAGGGTGGGAGGGAGTGAGGGAAAGAGAGGAGGGGGAGAGAGAATGAGAGAGAGAAAGAGAATGAGGGAGAGAGAGAGAGATAGAGAGAAGGAGGGGGAGAGAGAGAGAGAGAGAGAGAAGGAGGGAGAGAGAGAGAGAGATAGAGAGAAGGAGGGGGAGAGAGAGAGAGAGAAGGAGGGAGAGAGAGATTGATGTGACCGAAATCTGATTCAATGTAAACTTACTTTGCTGGGTAGATATCAACGTAAGGCATAACGGTTTTATCAATAAAGGCACCGTAGCCCAGCCTGAAATTATTGGTGATGTTCTTCATTTCACCAGCTGCAAGACAACAGAAGAGGAAAATTTCAGATTATATAATGATGACAAAAATTAAATGCTAGCACCATATCCTGGCCTAAAATCACTGGTGATATTCAGTTTTTCAGCAGCGGCAAAAGAGAGGAGAAGGGTTCTACATACATAATGGAGATGAGGCAACTACATTTCAAATCAAATGAAGTTTGCAAAGCCTTTTATGCATTACTTGTGTTGGAATTCATGTCAGTTGCTGCAAAAAACTGAGACGAAAAGTAGCGCATTATACAATGGTAATAACAATCAGACTTTCTATGAGATTAAATGAAATGAGGAAATGTGAAGATTACAGATATCTGACTAAGAACTGAACCAAGAACCTTGGCCCCAATTTAAACAAGGAAATGCATTGCTGTGCCATACAGTGCATACAAGGTACATGTACATGTTCAATCTTTAACTTCTTCAGATTGATGTATTTGTAACTAATTGTATGTGGTTCAAGTCAAGCATTTTTCAAGTGTGCAGACCCATTATAAGTCACTCATCGCATGGACTGTTTGGAGAGGGGGAGTATGGGAGCAGTTCACTAGTTACTCAATCGTTGAGTAAACATCTATGGTCTGTGCCACTGATTTTCTTCATTGAATACTCACCTAGAATTCCACCCAATGATCTAAGTTGGACCAAGTCGTCAGACATGGAGTCTGACAAGTCCATAAGGTAGTAAAGATCTACAGGGAAGTCCTCGGCCTGTCGAATCTGAAGATCAATAGATATCTTCTCCCCTGCAAAGTAAACAAAGATATCATTCAGATTAAGACCATCCATCAAGTATACGGTAGTTGTTCATGTAGCAAATTGACAGACATTGTTATTACTATGGTTCTTTAAAATTTACAGTGGATTTTGTTTTTAAAGGAGGGGGTGGGGGGGTAAATCACCCTTGGGCCTCTTCTTATATATTAAGGGGGGAATCATTTTTTGGGGTCTCTTTTTTTAATTTGTGAGAATAACACCTCTTGGGTTTTATATCAATTATATCAAATCTACAGCATGATATTTCATACCATGCAGTATGGATCAAATCATCATTTCAGATCATCATTTGTAGAGGTGTCATGGTCTCATGGATACATGTACATGTATCACAGACCATGGATCACATGGTTTCGCAATTCAAATCCCACCACGGCATGAATGTCCTTTGGCAAGACATTAATCTACACCTGCCATTCTCAACCCAGGGCCCTGTCTTACTGAGTTGATATCAATCTCAACTATGTACATGAGAGATAGGAGACTGCAAACTTGCGCTTGATTAGAGAACCTGCAATTGATTTGGATCAATCGCAACTCTTTGTAAGGTTTAGTAAATGGTTGTCTGGTAGGAACTTATTCCTTGAGTGCTTTCAGAGCCTTATGGCAGCTGGGCTTTATACTTTGTACGTGCTTTGAGCATCCTCTTGAATGATGGATATACATGTACAAGTACATGTTTGGGCAATATGAGAAATGAAGTAGTTATATCAATTCAAATCAAATCAAGTTAAATTACCTGGTCTCATTGTCAGATCTACTACTTGAGGATAAACCTGGACTAGATTTTCCACAGGGTCTCCTGCTTTACTTAATGGTGTTTTCTGATGGAGAAAGAGAAAATAATACAAAGACATGAAAAGACAATGTTATAATGCCTTTAATACAAATAAACCATAGCCATGCAGCCTACAAATAATACATTGTAATCACAAGCATTGCTATTGATTGTGGGTGCCTCAAGAATAAGTCTGCTAAAAAATAGAATGCCAGAATGCTGTTGAATAGATTTTTTATAACACTCTTTTGACCTTCAAAAGACAAATATTGCAGCCTAAATTTCATACCTGAAGAATATTTCCTTTTAAATGCTTTCTTGAAAGACAGAAAACAAACTCCTCCCCTCATTTTTGGTTTTGGTAATATTGGCGGCGACAGGTCAGTATATTTATTACACAGGTTTGAAAATCAGCTATGAGTTTCATATTTTATTTTAGAGGTTCGAAAATCAGCAATATGTCAAATTTCATTTTATGAAATATTAATCATAATATGTGTTTGTAACTTTGTATGAAAATGCTTTAAAATATGGCTCAGATTGTACCAGAGTGTAGCTACCCTAGAACCCTTAATCAAGCCCTGGATTCCGACCACAAGGGATTTAGTGCTTCGTTATACTTCTTCCAGGTTCCAATTTTACATGCATGATTGTTTTGTTTGTGGACCACCCTGACGTAAGGTGAGCTGGGACCATGGCATAAGAAATGGTCTGAACTATGATAGCAACCTACCCCTGTTATATTCATGGTACTCTGAGGGTTTTCTATGTGCAGCTCCTGGCATCCCCTCTCTCTTAATGTATCTGGATTGTCACAGCGTGGAAAGTTCTCTGCATCTTGAAAGTCCTATCAAAGAAAAATGAACAAGAAAGGAAATAGAATAAAGTACACTGTATTTTATTTATTGAAAAAATTAATGGGTCACAATTACCATAGGTCCAATGACAACTTCATGTAAACTTAGCTCCATCATGTATTTCCATCATGTTGTTCTGACACTTAAGAATTGTTCTGATATGGCACAGAAAACCGCCGCAAAATGGAAATTGCCTGTCATTGACAATTTGTGACAGTTTCTGGTTTTAAAGTGGGCAAACGTACATGTCAAACTTAACACATTACCTTCCCTTCTTTAAGGCCATTAAAAAAATATACATGTTTAGCGTCCCTGCCCGCTTCCTTTTTGGGGGCCACCTCCTATTTTTATTTTATTTTTGAATTTTTGAATTTTTTTTTTGTTGAATTTTTTGTTGATTTTTTTTTTTATTTAACATGAAAAACACTGCTAAAATGGATCTATTTCTGAATAAAAAAAATATTTAAAAAAGTTGGCGGCCATCTTGAAAAATAGCCCGGCTGTCATGGAAAATATACCGAGCGGCCATTTTGAGCAGCCATTTAAAAAAAAAAAATTAAAAAAAGGGCCTCCTCCTTCGTATTTTTCAAAAAAGTAGGACGCTAAACATGTTTTTGTTTTTTTATTTGGCCTAATAAGAAGCTTTTTCCTCTATTTTCAGAACACTTGCAAAGATTTATTGATCGCACAAGGTCAGAATCTCCAGGAAAGTGTAAACCATAATAGAGTGACACAGTTCTGTCAAATCCTACATTAAGCACCGGTTGAGTTATGACATCCAAAAGACAAACACAAGATTACAAATTAACCCTTTATCATGTATCTTTTTCTTTTCTTCCTCTCTCTTGTTTCCTTCTCTTACCATTTCTTTATCTTCCCTCTCTAACTTTTCCCTTTCTCTCTTTTTGTTTCACCCCTCACTCTCTCCCTCTCTCTTGATTTTCCTTTTTTCTCTTAATTTTTGTTTACCTTCCCCTTCTTGTGATCTGATTGCTTCCCTCTCCTTGCTTCTCCCTTGCTATGCCCCCTTTCTTGCCTTTTCTTTTCTCCTTTTCTTCTACCCCCTCTCCGTCTCTGCCTAAATTCTTATTTGTTTAGTCTCTACCTCCTCTACCCCCTCTCTCTCTCTCTCTCTCTCTATCTTGTTCTCTTCCTCCCACTCCCTCACTCCTCTACCTTCCCTTGTCTCTCCTTTAGAAGCAGGGCATTCTACTGACATTACATTAGATTGACAATATACTGCCATCTACTGCTCACAATGTCCAGAACTCCAGATGTATCCACAGCCATGCATTAACTGATGATGCTTGGTCACAGGAGACGAAAATACATTGCAGCAGTGGTAGCAATGTCGGTAATATACCCTGCCTTTAACTTGGTAAACCCTACCTCTTCTCATCATTTTCCTCCTTCTTTCTCAAAGATTTAATTTCTCCTCCTAGCCGGTTCATCATTCCTAATGACCATCATCCATCAATGTCCCTCGGTCTATGCATAATCATGACAACTAAATTGAACCCTGTGTTTGCTATACGATGGCTGGGATAATAAATATTTGTGTAATCTGTGGGCTTATCGTTTGCATAACTGACCACACACTGCATCAAGATACATGTGTATGCCGTCCTATGGTGGAGCTTAATGACTTAGGGCAACAGTGATTGGATTTACTTTTCTGCTCCTGTCAAATTTAATGCATATTATTTTATTTTGATTTGAAGAATAAGATAACATACCCCTATATGTATGATGCGCAATGAGAGGCTTTTCCTTTTGTATGGAAGACTTTTCTATGTGTGTAAATTTTATTTAGTATTTATTTGATTTTTACTAGAAAATATTTGTTTACTATTTTGTTATCAATATAATCCACTATGAGTATATGACAACTGGCCATTTAAAAATGTGTACACTCTACACTGCACATGTATAAAAGATGTTGCTTTTGTAAACATTTCTTTTAATATTATTGGTTGATAATATTCATCATGAAACTGAATGGGATGCAAGGTTTAGTGTAGCAGGTACATGTAGGTGTACAATAGGAAGATTATTACTCAATAATTAGATATGTTCAAGAGTGACACAATGGAATAAAGAAAAATTAAGTACCCAGTGACGGTTCTAGAGGGGTATAAAAAAAAACAGAATTTGAAACTGCTCCTGCAAAAACATGTACACTCTCATGGACATTCGTATTACATGAATTTCTAAACATTATTTTTTTGCAGAATCGTGGAGTGGAATACCCTTTAATACGCCATTATGAAGAACAAAGATGAAGAAAGAAAACATTGCGATTTAATCATTCTATGTGAACGAGCCTATATAAGCCACCTTATAACACCTACAGACTACAGTACATGTGTTTTTGTACTTTTTTATTGCCTGGTATAGGACAGGTCACCAGCTGCTCGCATTGATTTTTCTCACCCAGTGACTTTATTATTTTCAAGATAGTGATCTATGGCTACTGCACTCATATCATATCTATAATTGATCCTCCTTCTCAGGCAGAGAGATATCATATTTGACCTTGATGTTCCTTCATACATCTTTTTTATGTGAAAGAGGAAAGTCTCTCTGCCCGTCTCTTTTTGTCTGTATGTCTCTCTGTGTGTGTCTCTCTCTTCATGTCTCTCTCCCTCTATCTCGTTCTCGTCCTCTCCTTCCCCTCTCCCTTTCTACCTCCTTGTCTCTCTTTTCTCTCATCTCTGCTCTCTCTCTCTCTCTCTCTCTCTCTAGCATTCTTCATATTTTCCTCAATTTGTCACAGAAAAAGGATAATAACTACAAGGCTTGCATTGCCATAAATAAGTGGACTAACTTCTATATTGAAACATCATTATCATTATAAACACTACTTGTGTACAATGTAGGCTCACATGTATGATGTAGGCATATACATGTTGTAAATGGTATCACATTTTAAAAAAATTGCTGAAAGGTCACTAGGTACTGATTTGTATAAAGTTGCGTTTTATCTTGATGAATTGTTTTTTCTTCATTCTCACAAAGCCTTTCTCCCATAAACGGCCAACCCTCATCAATTATCCTAATGGCATAATAGCAAGATGGATGGCTAGGGTTTCTACACAATACGCAAATACGTGTGGGTTCATTGTCTATAGAATGCAAGTCAGTGAAGCAGCATAAATGCTTTGTATTAACTGCAGGTACAGGAACATGTACTACTGTAGTAACAGTAACAGAGTACATAACTGTGTCCCTATTGGAACAAGTATTCAAGTATACAATAAAATGTTTTCTTTGGGTTAAGTTTGTCAATTCTGGTGGCCCAGACATGGCTTATGACATTTCTGGATGCACACTGTGAAGGGCTTTGTACAATGATCTGATCTGGACAGCAGATTCTACATATTGTTTTTCGAAATGTTGACCTTTGATTTTGTCAAGATTTTACAAATGTTGCAAAGGGTGTAAGTTTTAATATGATTGGTCTGTATTCTTCTAATTCAATTAAATCTGACCTTGATCTAAAATCACGTGTTACAATAGGAAAACTTTAAATAGACCTATCTCAGACCCACTTCCGTCATTAAACATGATTTTGGAGGATAGCAAAACCCAGTGTAGGGTTAAATTAAATTTTAGTTGAATACAGGCCCACATGTACAAAATCAACTTCAAGTTCTCTGTACATGTACATCGTATAACAGGGATTCTAGATAAATAATAGAGAAGAAAGAGTACCGGTACATGACTACATGTATGGTCGATTAAAAATGCATACAAAGGAAGTCCTCAAATGAAACAGTAGCATTTTTGTTTACATTTCTTTCTCTTTAACGGAAGTTTCACTTTAATAATCAGAGGATAATCCCACGATTGGTACAATGCATGGCCGATGAACCCTATCCTACATATGCATGGTGCACACGCATTCCCTCACAATTCTTGCTGTATTTTTCTTCTTTAATATTTGTTCCGCTTTCGGTTGAATAGTACTAAACAAATATAGGAAGCACATATTACATATTTTGGTCGTGGAATGTCAATGCTTGTAGCAAATTTGTCAAACAGGTTGTTTCGCAGCTCACAGTAAACAGATAGCATGTCTAGACATTGTGATACCAGATGAAATATGCATTTTTTCCATTTGTATTTAGTTTTAGGTACTTTTCATGAGAGAAGGGTCTGAGATATACAGTGATCATAGGCCATTTTCATAATGTATTAACCAAATGTATACCTTTGTTCATATTGCAACATTAGTTGTTGCTAGGTAGAACAAACATATACTGTAGGCTATATAACAACACCTGATATATGCGATTTGCATTCTAACTATTGAAATACAAACATTTGTAACAGGTGAATGGTACTATAATTCGTATTGAGGCACATAAAGTATAAATTTGGTTACATCATAAGAATAGGGCCTATTAATGTACTAAGTGTACTGGTAATCTAAAAAGTTAAATGTAGGGAACCATTTTAAGATTTAATTTTACAGTTTGTTTGTTTTTTATTGTGAAACTAAAAGAGTGAATTTCATATACATTTCCATGGAGAACTATTAAATGCCAAAATTGCAATAAAACAGATTTTTTTTTTTTTTAAATAAAGAAAACTTAATTCTATATAACATTTTAAATAAGAGAGAGGGGGAGGGGAGAAAGAGAGAGATGGTGTGAGAGATAGATTGACATACAAACAGGGATTTAGAGACAGGGAGGGTGAGAGAGAGAGAGAGAGAGAGAGAGAGAGAGAGAGATTAGGGGGGCAGAGACCAGAGAAACAGACACACCGATTGGCAGAGGCACAGAAAGATGTTTGAACAAAAGCAGAAAAAAGAGAAAAGGGGAAGAGAATTGACATCAATATAAGATGGAAGCTTGAGATGACAGAAAGATGGATCTATAAACTTGAGTCATAAGGCCATGGTCAGCTGCTCTTCTATTGATCACCTGATAGATGGATGATGAATCGCTTAGGTCACATGACAAATGCATAGTTAATTACCAACTCATATCTTATGAAAGTGAATTAAGTGATGGCTTCATATTATTCATTTCATCAATGTGATTGTGTGCACAGTAATGCAGTCTAAACTGAAAGCCGAAAGCCTTGTAAAATGCAAAGGACAGTAGTACATACAGCATTGTATAAGGGCGATAATGGTAAATATAGTTTTATTGGGGACCATATCTCTGTTAGTCTGGTTGTATTAAATGTAATACGTATTCAGAACCAGGATATGCCATATTTTTATTTCACTATTTCAATCTTGCTTCTTTTCCCTGTTTTTTAATGTTATACTGTACCTATCGCTGCTTTTGACTCATTTTTGATTTCCTAATGGTTCCATGATTGCACATATTATAAATAATACCTAACCACACAAATAAGTGCCCTCTGCCTCCAGCCAAGATAAAGAGAGTATTATTTCCTAGAAATAATGAGGTGAACATTCTAACATGACCTACAACTTGAGAATTCAGAGAATGTGGGTTATGTCCATACATGTATACACAGTAGGGATGGTAATATAGTCTGCAAAAAACAGACTCTATGCTGACATTTTCAATACAATTCTTTTAAACCTTGGGCCAAGCCTAAATTTACCAGTCTCTGGCTGAGCAGATACTGTATACTGTATACTGTACAGTGCAAGTAGAATGTGCCATCTTCAAAGTCTTACTGTAAACATTCTGTTATACACAATGTGTACATGTACATCTGAAAACTTGTAACAAGGGGTATGTGCATGTAAACTACTGTAGCTATGTCTAGAGATGTACAGGTAAGTATCTTATGTGCAATACACCACTCATAGTAGAGTATGTGACAAACAAACAGACTGTATTACTGAGTATCACAAGCAAATATCAGTGTAGAGCTGTGAACAAAGAACACTGCACTCTGCATTCTTTTATAATTCAGGATATTTAACAGAAGAAAGGTAAAAAGATATAAAGAAGGAAAAAGAAATAAAATGTAGAAATGAAGAAACAAACAAACAAACTAAAGAGAAAAAAGAAAGAAAGAAAAGAAAGATATATGAATAGATTTGTTAGATTATTCCACCACCACCGAGCTGTTAGGCTGCATAATAACTACCTGATTCTACTGACTACCAGTACTGTACATACTTTACAAAAAGATAATTCCTTTCTGTCTTCCTTCTGTTCCTTTCTCTCTAGCCCTAATCTCTCTCCCTTCTCCCTCTTAAGCCCAATCTCCATCTCTTCTTCCCCATCTATCTCTAGATCTCTCCCAAAAGTATTTATAGGATCTGTTCCTCTCCCCCCCCCCCCTAAATATATTCCATCTATCCTCTTTATACAATGATAGTTTGGTAGCCTACAGCTTCTAAGCTTTTATGGCTACCATGAGAATTCAAACCAAGTTGGTGACCTGACTTCAACATGTGTTCCTAGAGGCTAACCATATTTCAAATCGCCCCTAGTAATGTACATGTACAAGTAAGTTGTTCCTGTACAAATTCATGTACAGTGTACAAGCCCCATTTCTGCTCAGATAGAACATGACGTTTGTTGTGTACAAAAATATCATTAATTTATGTTTTTCAAATTTGGGGCACTACCCAAAAAATATTATGGATAGCATATCATTATACATGTAGGTTCTCTAAAGAGAATAGACCCTCCCAAGTCATACATTTGTGAAAATTGAAATTTTAGTCATTTTGTGCAAGGGAACAAATGGGAAAGTTGTCCACCTCTACATCACAAAGACATTGCCAATTCAGCCAATTTGAAGAGCACATACATATAGTGATAACAACTTTTAAAAATTCATAACTTTCTCATTTCTTGTCCGATTCATTAAAAGTTAATACTTTCACCATTCTACTTCTTTCATTTTTCTTTTTTTCCTCCAGAGTACAGTTGTTTGCTATCACGGTGGGATTTCCCTTTGAAGTCCAAACAAAACACTTGTCTACTTTGTATGCCATGCTTTTACATATGTACTGTAGATGTGTGCCATGGACTATTTTTCTTAGATAAAGCGTACAGTATACATGTTCATTGATTGACATGTAGGTAGATACATGTACAGTGTATTTCACAAATTTAGAATGAAAAAATGTAAAATGTCCCTGTGACCCACATTCTTCTAACACTCAACATACAGCTACATGTACAGCTTGTAGGTCTACATCTGAAAATATATACATTCATACATGTTGTACATGATTCCTATGACTGATAAATGTGTATCATGTACATGTAAAAACTCGCAAAGCATTTTGCCACCTGGAAAGATAGAAAAAAAAATCATCCCTGTGTATTCACATGATCACAATGACCTGTATCTCTAATATAGTATCCCTTTTTTCCCCTCATTCAAATGAAATTCAAAGAAAGCTTGAATCAGCATTCCTTATTCATGAGAAGAACAGTGTCGAACACCCACAAGTGAAGGTCTAAAATGACAAAAGTCAAGTTTACTTTAAGGCCTTTTCATTCCAATTGTAACACCTCACCGATGTAGATCCAAATATGGTTACACTTGGCTGGACATGTGTAGTATACCGGTAGGTATAACCTTACTCGTACTATGCATCAAACAAAAAGAGTCTAATAAATAACCTTACTGCATCTACACGAGTATTACTGATAGATAGTTAGGCTACCAAAAAACAAACTCATAAAACCAACTTTTGAGCAATGAAATAAGAATAGGCTGTTATGTCCTCTATGTATTACCATACATGCATGAGGTCAAAGAGGGGAAAAATTGTTATTTTGTGGCAACTACATGTACATGTATATCCTCAGTCAACCTACAATGTATACGGTACATGTTTCAAAATTACATGTACACCTCTATTATATTCATTGAAAATCTTGAAAGTAGCTCCTTTTCCCCCCTGCTATAGTAATACAGTGTTTTTACAGTAAATTCAGAGGCCAACCATGCAAGCTCCTGTTTAAATGTTTTGCCAAAAAAAAGAATATTTTAAATTAACAAAGCCATGTACAATGTTTACAATTCCATGCATTCTTACTACCGGTAACATTTTAAATGCTGTTTTGCTTTAAAGCAAATTATTATGCTATTCTGAATATTTCAACAGGAACCTGGACACAAGCCTAGAATAGATAGTTGTACTTTTAATAATTAATCACAAAACAAGATCAAAGCCTATTTATTATTTTGACACTAAATGACAAGAATAATAAACACTTCCCTGACATTTTCCCACGCTCTGTTGAAGCTCACACGCACAAACTTTAGGTTTCAGGAACGGTTCAGATTTCAATATCATTTACATGTAGACATCGGTGATAAAGTAACAATATTAGGATCATCTGCTTTATAATAGATCAAAACCAAAATATTTAATGTGTGTATGAGAGTAAATCCCAAAAGACAAAAAGTAAAAATAAAAAGAATAGGACCGGAAAAATAATAACATTCACGTTAATGCTAAACAGGAAACTGCCTTGAAACTTAATGTACAGCTTTTTCATGACAGCCATTTAAAAAAAAAAAAGATAATAAGTGTTGTAATTCAATACTTTTTGACCAAAAACTTTATCAAATCTTGACCACTTCTGAAATTTATTTAAGTTTCTGATTTTACAATATCATAAGTGGACATACATGTACATGTATTACGTAATACCTATTGTTCAGGGGGGGATGACTGAATAGATCATCCCCCCTGAACAATAGGTATTACATAAGGATTGACGCCCATGACTACATGAATACTTACGGGTTGCGCGCACCAGGCACAGCTTGGGTCTGTGATTATACAGTCTCCACAGTTCTTGGCTTGCAAACAGGCACTGTTTGTTCCTGAAAACAAAATGAAGATAAGAAGCAATTAGAAGAAAATATGTAATTACCTAGACTTGAAATAACATGCATAAATCCTCTTTCCTCACTCCTTTTTCTTACAAAATGTAAATACAAATAAATTTAAAATACATGTACTGTACATCTTTGATTTCACATTCATATGTTCATTTGTCCACAAACACAACAGAAATTTGAATCATAACATGTTAAAGATGCAATGAGTATGAACTATGAAGACAGTGAAAATGGTTTCTCCTAACTTCCTAGGTCCTTTTTTTTTATAAAAAATAAAATAACAAAAATTCAGAATTTATTTTAAATGTACTGATTGATTAAAGATGTATACAGGTACATGTACATTACATTGTATGTCCCCTCTTTCATTGGCACAAGTACATGTACTGTATGTACATGTATGTTTTACAAAAAGAAAAGAAATCATTTCACAATATATTCGTAAATATCACAAATAATTAATAAAACAATTCCAAAAGGTTTTTTTTCAAAAGCTTCTTTGGCATGGTGTTTTGTAGGAGTAAGCCAAGTATACAGACATGTTATTTGAAACTTAATTCTTGGAAGGAAAACTATATTTTTGAGAACACAAATAGATTGAACTCTCAGAGGCTGGTACACTTAACTCCACACCTTATGACATACAGTACATGTACCTGTATATTATTACAAACACATAAAGCACAATATGCATCACCTATTTCCCCCCTTCAAATTCTTATGATCCCTCGACCATAACTGATGCAAACTATAAATAACATAACATTTTAAAGTGTACTTCACACAGGCATAGCATAATAATAATAATAATAGTGATTCAAACACAGTGATTATCACTTTGCAGTGTCTGTTTCAAAATTAATCTTAAAAAACAAACTCTGCCAACATGGGCTATATATTTTTGTCATGTTTATGAGAGGTGTTTGGACAGTTGGAAACGTTAACATGAGCTGAGGGCAATTGCCAACTAAAATCTTTCACATTTAGCCTCTACGCCTAAATGGAATAAAGTAGTACCTGTACCTGCAATTAATGATCAGTAGTAGTAGAGCTAAAATGCAGCCCTGGGCTGGTATTCAATTCAATACTTAGAAAAAGTAAGAAATTTACTATTAAGTAAATGGCTAAGCTAAGAAATTTACTTAATATGTACATGTAGTATTCAAATCGCATTTTAGACTTATTATACATACGGTACGTGAGACAAAATCCAAGTAAAATACCTTCTGATACGCATTGTGACATCACACTATCAATCCAAAGTAATGCCCAATTAATGTGTCGCAATTAATGCACGTTAATATAATTGTGTGCAGGAGAATAAATTGTCATTGTCTTTGATATTATAATGCGTTAGAAAATCATAAGCCTGCCAATCAAGGCCTCCAAATAATTGGCTTAAGTCTGCTAGGGAGCTGTCTTAAATCTAGGGTAAAATACTTACCCAAAAGTTTGAACTGAATACCAAAATTGGATTTGGCTTAGTATTTTAGCTAAGCCGAAGACTAAGTAAAATACTCAAATTTTGTACTCAAGTATGGAATTGAATACGGGTGCTGATGAATATCCCCCCCCCCCCCCCTCCTCTCAAAACATGTACATGTAAATGCATCCCAGGATAGGCATTTTTCATATTCTTGTGTTCCTTCTAATAATGATTAACTGTTCAAATACTTAAATAAAGCACAAAAAAGCAACCCCCCTCAAAAAAAAAAAGCAAATTAAATAAAAACAAAACAAAATAATATCAGTGACTTTACATTCTTAAATCAGCGAATTCATATTTTTCAACTCTGCAACCCTGTTCACAAGATATTTTTTTTTGACCAGTATCTTTACCAAGGGGGAAATACATGTAGAGACATCATATTTCTGATGTGACATTTTGTGGCGGAGGAGTATTGCCCTGATACATGAAACCAGTATTCTCATGAGATATGGGCGACGGGCAAATAAAGAAATCTGGTTGATATTTGCAGGGTACAATGAAACCACTGTTCTTGTACATCATGAACGTGTATAATGTTTTAGACATTGTAGATTGAATGCCACATGCTCTGATGATATCTACTCTCCACTGTCTGTCTGCAGACTATTTCAGGCACTAACTAAGTTTATATTTAAACTTCAACCCTGGACCAAACGATATACCTAACCATAACCCTAAACCCCTCATCATAATCTGATTTTGTTGCATTTTCCATTTATGGGTAAAAAGTGAGTTGCAAATTTCTGACAATACTGAAAAAGTAAATTAGGCTTTTAAATCATTCACATATGGCACTATACAACCACCTACATCTACATGTAGGTAAAAACTTATTTGTGTGTTACAACTAAATCTTACATTTCAAAACAGTCTAGATTTCTTTTGTTTCAATTTTGATTTATGTACTGCAAAAGTTGGACACTACTTTCATTAATCCACTTAAAGATCTCCTGTGTTGGTGTACATTTAGGTAACTCTCACAGTATTCACTTTTTTTAATGACCTCTGTAGCATTGGTAATTAGCAAAATGTTGCCTGGCAGGGGTTGGCAATATTAAACTTTAAGCTCAGTCTTTCTAAAGGGCAGAAAGTCAGAAACTGTTATGTCTGTCAATGAAAACAGTCTGGATTGATAGGTTTAAGACTTTAAGTATCATCTCTTCTCTCTAGATGACCTCTAGCTCTGGTGAGGAGCAAGAGGTCACCTGGCAGGGGTGTGGTGATATTAAAGTTTTAGTGCAGTCTTTTAGAAGGGTTGGATTAGCTGTCATGCTGGGACAACAAGGTGAGAGGATGATATTCCATCTGTCTCGCAAATTAACATGCTGAAAAAACTAATACCAAACAACCTTTTCATATCACTGGTAAATACAGGTACATGTTCATGTGTGTATCACAAAGTCAAGGACAGACTACTGGTATGTAATTAAGGTTTGTTGGACTGCATCATCTGCATGTACAGTTAACAACTCAATTATTCATACCCTTTTTAAATTGGATTTTTTTTTTTACTAACTCAAGAATGAAAGGTGGACTAGTTGAATAAGGGCCTTTGTTGAATACTTTTATAGATGCAAGCTTTAAGATGGTACATTATCAAGAAACATAAATTGGGACAAACATATTTTTCACATACCTTACTTCTTTTTAAATCACAAAACTTGGTAAGGGTATGAATAATTTAGTTGTTAACTGTGTGTACATACAGTTTGTACATGTATTTCATTTACAAATATAGTTTTACATCTACCTTTTTCTTCATCAGAATTATTCATAATGTCTGCACAAAAGATTGTGGCATTGTGCCCTACATGAAACCAAAAATAAACTGCTTTGGATTTTCTGAAGTGGTCTGGAAATTGACTCTTTGCGAAAACTAGGTACATGTAAGTTATTCATACAGTGTACATGTTCATGTATTACAAAGTGAAGAGTAAAATTATTGTTCTTTTTGATAATCTTTATTTTCTGAAGATAGATTACATACTAAATAGCCATAATAATTGAAAAGATGTATGTATTATGTTCCAGTTTCCTGTCTTTTTTTCATCTATCACCCGCCCTGCCCCCCCCCCCCCCACCTCTCTCTTTCTCTCTCTCTCTCTCTCTCTCTCTCTTCCATACATCGGTCCATATCTAATATCTGTCCCTCTGGATCTAACTTATCTCTGTTATTATGACTAGTGGTACCTGTCAGTCTGTCACCAATCTACGAACACAATTTAGGCATAAATCATAACATGTATGGTACTCTACCTTACATGAGAAAGAGAAAGAGAAAGAGAAAGAGAAAGAGAGAGAGAGAGAGACTTGAGGTCAAAGATCAATAACAGACACATTCCCACAGTGCAGTAGACTGCTTCAGGTTACAAGCCTGTGTTAATTCAACTGCCCTCCATCTGTCTCCATCCCTCTCCCTTTTCTAAACCAGATCACCTGCGCAGCCTCTCTCTCACAGAACTGTTGTAAGTATGGGTTTGCCGTCATCCCATTGAAACGTGTGTTAATTTTATAACACATGTTCTAATGGAAGTTAGGCAAACTTACACTGGTATCATGTATGACCCAAGTGTATATTCAATTTCCAGGCAAATATGTCACAGTTTTTCCTGATTTACTATTGACAATGAAGTAGACTATCCAATTTAGGACTATACATGGAGGCTACATAAGGGTACATGTTTTATATCTATCTTGCTCAAATGTTCACTCTTTCACTCACTGGATAGAAAATAAATGATTGGATAGACCCTCAATAAATTGAGTCAATACTAAATAAAGGGAACATACCTGTTGATTGTGCATCTAAAAATACATGTAATGAAAGGAAGAAGATAACTGCACTAATTGTCCACTGAAATAAAAGCTGTGGTCTTCTGTGTAACTTCATGATGGAGAGCTTGTGATATTCCCAGTTTCTGCAATGACAATAAGAAGAAGAAGAAGAAAGACTTTATTTTAACTGACAAAATCATCAAATATTTAATTTAAAATATGCATTCAAATCTTTTCACTGATTCATTTTACTGATTGCACATTAACATTTCGTATGTCACGCTTAAAACGTCCTAATATTAGAGCGAAATCCAACGCAGTATAAACGGGCGATGCAAACAAGACCTGCCAAAAGTGCATTATCGTAAGGATTTGGTGGTTCCTCTATCGCAGCGCTCCCGGCGCTCCATTGATCAATGTCCTGTACAATAGAGCAATACATGAATTCCTGCTCATGGGACAACCTTTGAACTGGCATCATCACCTCTGTACAAACTATCACTCAAAACTGGAATTAAAGGCACAAGAGTCACAATTCTTTTACCACCAAAACGGCCACACAATTAAGTTACAATAAAATTGTTCCTATTGGTAAATCAACAAAAAGTACCGCATATTTACAGTTTTACTTTGTAGTTGCCTGGGAAACTGGCTGCACGAACACGAACACAAACGTTTATAAATTATGGGAATCACTCGACTTCGTTCGCGTTCGTTCGGACATAATACTTGGTACACATACACTAGTAGGTCTATGGTACATATAAATATAATTTCTGTTTCTGTTTTTGTTTCGGACGGGTTGCGTCGGTAATTAATTGCATCCAATCTCGAGAATTACCTAAGTCTAAATTAAGTTCGTGGACATGTTTAGTAAAATGTCCAAGAATTTGGATTTACGACACTTTCGAGAAACAGCCACAAGATAGCTCCTATATGTTTTGATGCATGCGGGTATAATACCGATTCGAAAGGCAAAAGTCAGTTGTGTGCATTCCCCCTGCATCAACAAAATAGGGTCTAATAATAAATAAAAGAAATAGTTATGAATATCCAAAATAAATTGAAAGCAAAAGGTTTCATGCTAGCAGTATTTCTATTGCATGGGTTTGAAATGTAGTATGCCTATCTATTTAAGAGGGGCTCGGTGGGGGGGGGGGGGCTCTCCACAACCGAGATCTCCTTTTAAAATCCCTTCCTATTAAAACATAAATGCATAGGGCAGGGGGATCTAACTTTTTGCCAAGGGGGGGGGGGGGGGTTGTCCCAGTGGCGGATCCAGGATTTTCCAAAAATTGCGCCGTTTTATTGTTTTAATTTTTTTTCTTCTTTTTTTCTTCTTCTCCCCCCCCCCCTTTCTTTTCTCTTTTTTTCACAAGGGGGGGGGGGTAAACCGCCGACCCCCCCCCCCTAGATCCGCCCCTGATAGGACTATCAGAATCAGTATCGCAATCCCTTTTGGAGGCATCTTTCTAAACCTTACAACTTTTACTCCCGACTGATTTTGTCATCTTGGTTCTGGCATTCTACTGCTTCTACATAGTTACACAATCATCCATACCTGATGCATTGTATTGGAATTATGTCTTTATCTGCCCTATAGGCTATAGGATAGTCATGTCACCGATATGCCCTATCTCAATATGACGAGCTACGTGTGTTTAACCTTATCTTTGAGCGATGGTAAGCCCATTGACAGTACCAATTTCGAGTAATTTTTCATCACGTCCTCGAGTGGGGGACTGTTCTTTCAATTAGGAAACACCGATATAGTCCCATGTGCTCTCGGTTTCGGAGCGAACTAGTACATGTATATAATATGGCTATAGATAGTATATAGCCAGCTGCTGAGCAATTTTATTTGGCTATGTAAAAGGAAAACAAATATAACCATTGGCGGATTCAAGGGACATGGGGCACGTAACTGTACCCCAGCCCATTATTATGTCTCCTGCAGCATTTCCAGACCATAAACAATAACATGCTAAAGGGCACCTCTGGAATGTGATTTTCTTTCTCTTTTTTTAGGGGGGGGGGGGGGGGTGTCAAATAATTTGGGGATAAAAAACGCATTTTAAAATGTGATGCCTAGACATGTTTTCAAGATTTACCCTCTCGCCCCACCATGGACTAAACAATCCTGGATCTACCACTGATATAAACATCAAACTAACAACCAACAGATTTGGGGCACTACGAGATGCTTTGAATAAAACAATACCGATAACTTAAAGGTAGTGTATCAGTATCCCTTTTGCAGCCAGCATGAACATGTCTTATCTGTGAAAATTTAAACGTTAGCAGTCTGTGAAGGGTACATGAGCATTTGTCTACATCGACACTTTTTGTATATATGGCCAAAATTAAACTGATTGAATCTTTGCGCAGCACAAAACGTACGACCATTCGGTACAAGGGTCTGCAAATCAGACTATTTAATTAAACGAACCCGCTCGCTAAATTCGATTCGACAACTAACGGTTATTTTCAAACAAAAAGACATTTTCAAGCCCTTTTGTTTTGAGGGAAGTTCTAAATTAGTATTATCATTCAAATGCCGTTGGAATTCAGCCTTTCCATTTTGTTGGCCTGCAAAAGGGACATAGCCTAATTCCTTTAATATACCATCAAAAAATATCACCAATCATTAAATTCTCACTCCTTTACAGGTAGAACCAATTAAGATTTATTTTAGGCCAAAGAGTACTCTAGCATTTATAGACACAAAGAAACGCATGAAAAATTTAATTAATTAATTTTGCTGACATAAATGCCTCTTTACTTTGTAAGAACAAAAATGGATGATTGACTAAACTGCGGGATAATAATAATTTTGGAAGGCGCCCATTTATTAACACAGTCAGTGTATTTTTAATGACAATAAATACAAAACAATAGTTGAGAGATGTCTGTATCAATATCAATGGGGCATTTATGAAGTATACGAATTAACGGTGAATTTAATCATAAAGTGGCAGATCAAGGATTATCTTCGGGGGGGGGGGGGCAAAAGAGAGAGACACACACAGGGTCAGATAAAAGGAGAGAGCCAGAGAGCCAGAGAGCCAGAGAGAGAGAAAGAGAGAGAGAGAGAGAGAAAGAGAGAGAGGGAGAGAGAGGGGGAGATGGTGGGGGGGGGGCGAAAAGGGGGACTTTGAGATGAGAACACTCAATTTTGAAGCACAAAATGTTATCAAAACCAAAAACATAATTAAAGTGCCGGCAGAGCTATACGTAAAAAGAGCCACCAGCAACATGATCATAATAGTACATGTACCACCAAATGTACCGACTGGAAAAAAAGGAAATTCAAACACTCCTGTTAATCACGGAATTAATATCAGTCATATTACTTGTTTGCTCTGTATGTTGACTCAAAGCGAAGGCTTAATACCAGATTTATTGACTGAGCAAGTGTTGTACGGAAAGAAGCGCAGCCGATCAGGCGTCAAAATGAAATAATCTATTTGCATTTTGCACAAAGTAAAGCGCGCCACTCACAGAGCAGAGAATATCTCATAATTGTCTGTCCTTTCGGAAATATGATTCACCCTGTTTTACTCTTTCAGCGCGGTATGTATACATCTACATGCCTTGATATCAATGTGAATCTACCAAAATTACATTAATATGTAGATCTCTCCTTATTTAAAGATGATTTCAAGATTAAAAGTAAACTCTAGCGCCAATTATAGTCATAATCATCATCAGCTTTACCTTGTAGATGTTTCATGTACTTAGAAATTGAAAGGATTGTGGTTTTTCACCCATTTAATAACAATTTCCCCTACCGTGATGGTTGAGCTCGATGCCTTTTGATTCAGAACAAAATATACCACGTATATGATCCAAAGGGATTTTTTTTTAATTTTTTTTTTTTTTTTTTTTTTTTTTTGGGGGGGGGGGGGGGGGGGGGGACCTGTCTCGTATTATTTTGTTGCGCTATATTGGCGTTTGACGCCATAATTTGTTTAACTGAAGGTACGCATGACTATCCTTAGATGATTTGAAACAAAATTATAGACATTCAAAACTCAATAACTTTTCGGACAATTTCTTCTCTTTAGCCATGAAATCAAGAATGAAAATGTACTATCAACCAATGAAAAATACCAGTATTGCAATCGAAAGAATAATTATAACTGATAAATCCCATATACAAAATCCATTTACACCAAGATCGTGGATTGTGTCATGAATATAATTACAGGAATATTCAACTTAAAAAATAGATTTAATGAATTTATCAAAGCATAATAATAATAACCATGTTACAAATTTGTAGAAAGACATTGACATAAAAATCAGCCCTTAGTCTTCAACGCCCACGACCGGGAATATTGACTTGTATCATGTATTTTATATCATGAACTTTCATCTCCAGCTTCCGGTAACCTAATATTCATAAACAAATGTATCATGTGTCTCTGCCATAGACAGGCTACCTATAGATAGGTCCATTTCAAGTTTTAGGGAATGTTATCTCCGGAGAATTGTCAAATTTGAAGAAAAAAAGAATATTAATAATTAATAGACATTGTAATAAAAATCGACAAATTAATGATGTGACATTTAAACTAAATAAACTTATATGAGGAACTTTCACAACAGTTGAGTTTTCGATAAAATATTTATAAAAATAATAAAATATTCAAATTCAAATAGCTTTGTTATGGAATGACCAAGACATTACCTTTAATATCGTTCCGTAATAAAATATAAAATCAAATTTTTCATAGTTTTCATGAATGGTTGATAGGAAACTCAAATGTTATAAAGTACCACATATTTGTTATATAATATGTCATTACGATTTTTTTTTTTATTAGAATGTTTATAATATTCAAAATAGAAAATTCTCTGGAAAGGTAATTCCTTAACGCTTGGAATTTACATAGAATCAATGTGTTATGTGATGTTGATACCCATCTGTAAACTAGTAACTAAATTGCAGATCCGGGATGCTTTATCGAGGAGTGTATGTGTGTGGGTGGGGGGGGGGGGTGTAATCAGGCCTGGGTGCAATACATAGAAAAAGAAAAAATAAAGCGATCACAATTTTTCGTAAAATAATGCACAATCACCTCTAGAATCTAAAGAGGAAATTTGAAAAGGGTTATCGCCCCTACAAATGTTTACACAA